GCGCTGCAGGAGGGGCCCCCTGTCTGGGGGAAGCCGCCCAGCTCCCCGTGGGGAAGGAGGATCACCCACGAGCAGCCGCATTCAGTGCCACAGGCACCGCACCGTCTGCACCTGCTGGCTGCACCCTGCTCCTGACCCAGGCGACCCCAGGCGACCCCAGGCGGCAGCGGCCCCCCAACGCCGCAGGCCTGGAGCTGCAGGTGCACGGCGCTGTGTGCGAGACGGCGCGCAGCCCACAATCCGTGTTGGGGCCGAGCGGGTTCCCAGGGGGGTTCCCAGGGGGGGGTCCTGGGCGGGTCCACAGCGGCCATGGGAAGAACAACTCCCTCCTTGCTCTGCTCGCAGAGGCTCCGAGAAATGGCCAAGGGCTCGGCCCCCCACCCGCAGATGGACTAATCCGTGGATTCCAAGAGGCTTTAGCCCCCGAGGCAGAAGGAGCCTGGGCGGGGGGGTGCAGCCTCCATGAACCTGGTTCCCCGGCCGGCCCACAAGGCCCCGATTCTAGGGAAAATCGTGCTACGTGTCCGGTGCGTGTCTGTTTTCTGCCGGGAGCCACGGCTGCCTTCCCAGGCTCAGGGAATCTGTGAACCCAGGAAGATTAAGGGCCACAGGGTCCAATCCAATCCCTTCGTCATATGGGGGACACAGAAATGGGGGTCTGGGTCCTTGTGCCAAACGGACCGACCCTATTTAACCATATTAGCTGACAACCCCATCAGAAGCTTTCCCCCTAAACCTTGGTTTTGCTTCAGTGAGTTCATTTCTCTGATATTACAGCGCAGTCTGGGAGAAAGGGAGGCTCTTGGAAAGTTCCGCGGACTTTTAGAGGCACAAAGGTATCATTTGGGACATTCCTGCCTTGGTGGTTATTGCCCTCCGAGCGCCTGCGGCGCTGCCTCCAGCCTCCCCTCTGCTCTCCGCAGGGACTCATTACGTCTCTAACAAGCAGGCCTGCAGACGTAGGGCGCGGGCTCAGCGGAGGGTCTGCTCCGGGATCTCCCACGCTGGCTGCTGCTGCCTCACGCGGCGACTGACCAACCGGCAGCCTTGAAGCCGGCCCCGAAGCCGGAGGGGATGACTAGGCGGGCGCACGGACAGGCCGGGGCCCCAGGTTTCAACGGCACAGGCCTGTGCATCCTCCTTTTTCATGAAACTGGTTGCAGATGAACGGTATTTCCTCTTTGCAGATAAAGAAACTGAGGATCAATAATCTATTAAATATTAGAGACGCCTGGGGGGCTCAGGGGTCGAGCACCTGCCTTCGGCCCAGGGCGTGATCCTGGAGGCCCGGCATCGAGTCCTGCGTCGGGCTCCCTGCGTGGAGCCTGCTTCTCCCTCTGCCTGTGTCTCTGCCTCTCTCTGTGTCTCTCATGAATAAATAAATAAAACCTTAAAAAATAATTTATTAAATATTTATTATTGAATATTTTCTAACAGCGTCCTCAGATGGGGTCTCAGGGGTCTGTGAGCCCCCGAAATGATCTGCAAAGACAACTGCGTCGTAGTCGTCGTGTGTGTGTGTGTGTGTGTGTTGGGAGGGAGGGGAGAAAGGGGAGCACACGACTTTCATCGAATTCTGCAAAGTTCTGTGACTGTACAAAGGTTCAGAACCACTTCTCTTGTAAAATAACCGGCAGATTAACCCCAACCGTGACACGGAGCCCTACCTCTTTAACGGGATCTCTCCTCTTTTTGCCTCGGTTTGCTGACCCCCGCACGAGCAGACAAAAGGGAAAGCAGGACGATTGCGGAAGAGCCACATTTGGATGAGTTTCCCTAATTCATCTCAGCTCTGGAAAGCTCAAAATCTTACTTCTACTTGTGATAGTCCTGACCCTGTTAGAGGCCCAGTAGGTCGGAGTGGAAAGAAACCCTAAAACACACCAGGGCTCGCGAACGGGAACGCTGAAGCCGAGGACGTTGATCGCAGCCACATAATAAATCAGTGTCTGGGTTAGTCCGCGTTTCTTGTCGAGAAATCAACTCCAATCTCAGCCGGGAGCCTCTTGCCAAAATTTCTTAACAAATGACAATTCAGCATGACTCATTTTTTTTTTTTGACATCATGCAAATGAGGGTAAAAGACTGAGTGGCTTTCTGTCCGGAGATCAGGAAATGAAGTCTGTCTGGGGCCACACGTTCCCTTGGGACACGTGGTCGTGTCAGAAATGGGTTCTGGAAGAAGCGGGCCTTTGTCCGCTCCTGCTCCGTGAGCGAGCTCCTCCTCTTGGCCGAGGCTGGAGGGGTGGCCCCCACCCACGCTCCCAGGGAGCCTCACACCCAAGGCAGCCTCGTTAGGACGCCCACCAGGTTCTGCTTTCTCTAGAGCTGCCCTCCGAGGCCCCTTGCTCCCAGGCCGTGTTGTGAGCCAAGTAGCCGCTGTCACATGCGGCAGAGCCGCGGGCACCGGGCCTCGTGGTGCCCAGGAAGCCCCCGTCAAACGCGCTTGGGGTGAGCGGGATCTTATTTCAAATCACCTTTTTGCCTGGCAGGTGGACTTCTTCAGGCCCGCGGGACGCTGGGCCCCGTGGCTTCCCCGAGGGGCAGAGCCCGGCGTCGCCCCCACCGAGCAGGGGCAGTGGCACAAGCTGCGGGGCCCGGGTTCCTCCAAGGGAACAGAACAGCGTTGCTCAGAGCGGCTGCACGGCTGCACGGGGCGGGCGGCTCATAAACAGGATGTGACTTCCTAGGGAGCAGAGAGCCTGAGGATTCCTTTAGGTATTATTCACTCACTAGCAGACGACGGAGGAAGCGCGGCCCCGCCGGTCAGCGGCTGCCCGGGCAGGAGCCCCAGGTCTGGGGGCGCGCGGTCGGGTCGGGCGGCTCCCGCCTCCCCGCCTGCCTGGGGTCCTTCATCCCTGCGCGTCGTCCCCGAGCTCCGCTCCCGCGGTCGTGCCCTGGCTTCATTCAGGGCCCCTCAGGTCAAAATTTCTTTTTTTTCAGATTTTATTTACTTATTCATGAGAGACAGAGAGATAGAGGCAGAGACACAGGCGGAGGGAGAAGCAGGCTCCATGCAGGGACCCGATGCAGGACTCGATCCCGGAACCCGGGGTCAGGGCCTGGGCCCAAGGCGATGCTCCACCGCGGAGCCCCCAGGCGCCCTGAGTCAAGGTTTCAAGAACCAAAGACTGCGGCTCCTGAGCTCAGCCAAGTACCGTCTGAGGCGCTTCCCCTTTGGAGCACACTGGGTGTGGGGGGACGGGGTCCGGTGGGGCCCCGAGGCCCGGGCACTGCCCCCCGCCGGCCTTACATCCTCTGCACGCAGGACAGGCCGGCCTGGGGCTCCTGCCGCCACTGGGCCCAGCAAGCTGTGCAGGGCCGCGTGCTCGGGGTGTGCCTTGTGGGCGCAGACCTCATCACCCGCCCCTGCAGCTGGCCCGGAGCCAGAGGGGGTGGTGACCCGGGAGCCACAGGCACAGGCCCGCCTGGGCCTCAGCAGAGCCCAGAGGGTAACCAGGCCGCACTTGCACCCCGGGCAGGGGTGGGGGCGGCGGCCAGGAGCAGCCCTGGGCTTATGGAAGGTGAGGGCTTCCTGGGAGGAGGAGGCTCAGCTACTCATGGTGCGGGTGTGCTCCCGCCACAGTGCCCGGGGTCTGCCCCCAGCCCCAGCCCCAGCTCCAGGCCCAGGCCCAGGCCCAATGCACCCCAGGCCCAACCCCTGCCCCAACCCCAGGCCCAGGCCCAACCCCAACCCCAGCCCTAGGTGCAGCCCCAACCCCAGGCCCAGGCCCAGCCCCAATGCACCCCAGCCCCAGCCCCAGGCCCAACCCCAGCCCCAGCCCCAACCCCAGCCCTAGGCCCAGCCCCAATGCACCCCAACCCCAGCTCCAGGCCCAGCCCCAATGCACCCCAACCCCAGCTCCAGGCCCAGCCCCAGCCCCAATGCACCCCAACCCCAGCCCTAGGCCCAGCCCCAATGCACCCCAACCCCAGCTCCAGGCCCAACCCCAGCCCCAATGCACCCCAACCCCAGCCCTAGGCCCAGCCCCAATGCACCCCAACCCCAGCTCCAGGCCCAGCCCCAGCCCCAATGCACCCCAGCCCCAGCCCCAGCCCCAAGCTTGGCCGCGGGGCCCACGGGCTTCACCCGCCACACGTTCACGGAAGAGGCGGCGTCAGGGGCAGGCGGGGGGCAGCCCGTGCTCCTTTCCCACACTGATTAGGATCAGCCCAGGCTTTGGAAGCTGCAGTTAAGGATCTCAGCCTGAGAGTCTCCCCCTGCTTGCCCCGCCCGCCGGCCGGCTGCTGGGCTGCTGGTCCGCCTGGGAGCTGAGGGCTGAGGTCAGGGCTGTGGCAGGCAGGGAGGGAAGGGGAGGGGAAGGGTGACGGGGGGGGGGGGGGGGGGGGCAGGGGTGTCTGGGAGCAGGGGGATGGGGTGACAGGGGGAGCTGGGGGAGGGTGCATGGGAGGGGGGAGGGGTACTGGGGTGGGAGGGGTGGGGGAAGGGCAGGGGAGGTACCTGGGGGTGGGGAGGGCCTGTGGGGGAGGGGCTGCCTGAGGCGGGGGAGGGGCGGGGCGCGGAGAGCAAGGGCGAGCAGGTCAGAGGAGTGGAGGGAGGGCAGGGCTGTTGCCCCACCTGGGCCACTGCACCTTGGCCCCGTCGTGTCGCGGGTGCAGCTTTGCCTTGCGCTCGGCCTGGACTCATTTTGTTTCTTCCCGTGTTCGAGCCCCGGGAGGGGAGCGTCCTGTGCTGGGTCGAGGAGGAGGGAGGTGCCCTGGCTGTGGCCCCAGACGGTGGCCGACCAGCGGTCAGCAGGCCCCAGGCACCCAGTGGCGGGGCCAGGACCTGAACCCCGAGCCGGTCCCGGCAGAGCCTGCAGGTCCCTGACCTTCTGGGACAGAGGGCGAGGCTGCGCGGCCAGGACCGACCCGCTGGCTCCGGGCGGGATGCTCCCAGTGAGGGAGCGGGAAGCCTGGTGCTGACCCCGCGGCCGCCGGTGCCCCGAGGGCGGCCCCACGCAGAGGGCTCCCGGGGCCCAGCCCCCTGCCCCTTCCGAGGCCTGTTGTCCCCCGGCCGGCAGGGCCCTGGCGCCATGAGGTGCAGTCGCCTGCCCGGGGCACAGCTGAGACCCGGGGCTGTGCCTGCAGCTGCCGAGAGCGATGCCGTCGTCCCCACCGCTTTGGCGACTGGCCCTTTGTCTCGGGCCCACGGCGGTCCCGCCTCCGGCCCTCGCACTTGCCTGTTGGCAGCAAAGCGCCCGGCTCTGGCTCGTCGGCCTCCACGACTACACTGCAGGCACCCGGGCCCCGTCCGTCGTCTCCCCCCTTCACCCGCTTCCGCCCCAGGTCTGTTAGGGTCTCGCACGTGGTCCCCAAGCGGGAGGACGTGGGAAGCGCCGGCCCCGTGGATGCCTCCCTGACCTCTCGATGGAGCTCCCAGGAAGCACACTAAGTCTGGGGACGTCCATGTCCCCACCACAGAAGGGCTGGGCCACCCTCCACCAAGGCGGAGTCATGGCCTAACCCCAAGTCCCCTAAAATCCATCCGAGGTGGGGGCAGGACTAACCCGCCCGGGTGGAGCCGCACGTCTCTCCGCGCCGGGTTACAGGGAGGCCGGGTCCCGCCTTCCCGCCCAGTGGCAGCTGTGATCCAGTCTCTTCGCCCAGAGACGCCGCGTATCATACACATCTTTATGTACTTTTAAAAGATTTTATCTATTCATGAGACACACAGAGAGAGAGAGAGAGAGAGAGAGAGAGAGGTGGAGACACAGGCAGAGGGAGAAGCAGGCTCCACGCAGGGAGCCCGACGCGGGACTCGATCCCGGGTCCCCAGGGTCACGCCCCGGGCTGAAGGCGGCGCTAAACCGCTGAGCCACCCGGGCTGCCCTATTTTTATATTTTTTTACGATGAACTAATGGGGTGGTTGTGAGCATCCTCGGTGCCTCTGCGGGTCCTGGTGATGTGGTGATGGCTGCGGGGTGACCTGGAAAGGAGATTTAGGGTTCACCGACCCTGAGAACTGGGGAACGAGTCGTGCGCGTTAGGGTGGCGCCTGGCGATAACGGTGCAGTAGTGAAGTCGGGATGTCCCAAGTACTACCTGGAAGAAGACAGGTGAGGCTCAAGGGTAGTGGGAAAGGGCCCAAGGGGACACAGTTGAGCGCGGATTTGAGACCGATGGGGCGTGCTCGGCCGTCTTAGCAGGGCCCACTGCGCGGCCAGGGGCACTGGCGGAGAGCAGCGGGGTGCTGGCTGGTGGGCCCTCGGGAAGCATCCGGGGACGTGCTGTCACCTGGGCCCTTTGCACTGGCAGGAGGGGCCGCGGAGAGGTGTAAAGTAGCCTGGAGCGGAGGAAGGAGGACCGGACACGGACGCGCTCACATGGTGAGGTAAGGTGACCGAGGCACAGGGTGTCGTCTAAGAAAAAGGACAAAAGGAGACTTGATTATTTAAGTATGCTGGGTGCCCCCGGGGCGCCCGGAGAGGACAGACGGGTCCTTGAGGCCCCGAGCCCCGTGGCCGCCCGCAGCCCGGCCTCTGGCTGTCCCAGGAGCCACCCCGGTGGCAGGTGCAGCCCCAACTCTGGGGAATGGGGAGGGGCACCTGGGCCGGCCTCCGGCGTCCTCCGTGCGCTGCCCTTGGGGAGGCGCCCGCGGGTCCCGCACCCAGACTGAGGGGCTCTTCCCTCCTGGGTCAGCCTGGGCCTCGGGTCACGCCTCCCATGGAGCAAGCCGGGCAGCCCAGACTCCTCCGGGCTGCGGCTCGGGTGCATGCAGGCCCTCGGTGCCTCGGTGTCCCCTGGCAGGAGCTCGGGCTCCGGTGACCCATCCGGTAAGGAAGGCCAGCAGGAGGTTGCGGCTCCAAGGAAAGATTTCAGTGAAAAACAAGGATTTCTCGTATTGGGACGAAAACGAGCAAAGTTCTTTGAATCTCCCCAGGGAAGAGCCCACTGTCTTTCTGGAACAGTCCAGGAAAAGGCATCCTGCTTCCTTCCAAGCCGACTCCTTGGTATTCCGGAGCCCGACGGACGTGTCCTCCCACCTATAAAATTGAGTGGCGGCGGCAGCCTCATCCCTGATTCAGGTGATGTGATTTTTTCCGAGTAAAAAAAATTTTTTTTCCCTGCATTTTTTCTTGACTCTTAAACCTTTAGCACCTGCAGGCAACAGAACTAATGAAGTTGTAAACATGTGAATGGGGTGGGGAAGCTTGGAAACCACCGGCCTTGCTGAGTTTGTTGCCTTCGTTTTGAGGAGCACGTGTGCTCGTGGTCTACACCGCCTGCCCTCAGTGGAGCCGTATTTTCTGCTGTTAAACTGGCTCCCCCGTCACGGATGCAATGAAGCAGGCCATTATTCCAGGGTGTTCCGGGAACGGCCTCGGGTCTCAGGAGCCCCCCCTGCCCCCCCGCCCGGCTCCTGGAGCAGCCCGGCCTCGGCGCGGCGAGTGGCCGTGTCCTGGTCCCGCTGCCCAGACGGGCTGCAGATAACCCCGTCCGGGGCATCGGCACAGGCTGAATTTATTCTCCGGGGTGACTTGGGGTTCCGCGTCCCTGCAGGGCCTGGAGAGGGGGGCAAAGGCGTACAGCACCGCCCGGGTGCTCCTGGGGACCCCAGGGCTCCCGGCAGCCGTCATCACGCGTGCCGTCGCTCGGCCCCACAGCGAAAAGCCCCTCGCTGGCCGGGCTCCGGGAGTCCGCGGACGTGCCGTGCAGAATGGGCTGCTTGATTTTATGATGCGGCCGCGGGTTACACGCGAGACTAATAAAGGAACTCCATAAAGTGGGCTTGGAGCGGTGGGGCTGCGCCCGTGCCAGACGGCGCGCTGCTCGGGCGGTTTACGGGGGGGCGCGGCAGCCCGGCCCTCCTGGTTCTTGGCTCTTCAGGCCCTTCTGCACCGGGGCCTTTTTTTTTTTTTTTTTTTTTTTAAAGATTTATTTATTTATTCATGATAGACAGAGAGAGAGACAGAGACAGAGACAGAGGGAGAAGCAGGCTCCATGCCAGGAGCCCGACGTGGGACTCAATCCCGGGTCTCCAGGATCACACCCTGGGCCAAAGGCAGGTGCTAAACCACTGAGCCACCCAGGGATCCCCTTTTTTGTTTTTTTTTTTAAAGGTTTTATTTATTTCTCCATGAGACACACACAGAGAGAGGCAGAGACCCAGGCAGAGGGAGAAGCAGGCTCCCTGCAGGGAGGCCTGACGTGGGACTCGAACCCAGGCCCCCGGGGCCACAACCTGGGCCGGAGGCAGACGCTCGCCCGACGGAGCCCGCAGGAGCCCCCGAGGGAGGCTTCCTTGAGACACACCCAGCTGCCCCCTTGCATCAGGTTTGACCGCCTTAAAGGAGGGTTTTAAGCACAGGAATGACTTTCAGGGTCGAAGAGTATTTTGGGAAGAAAAAGACAAATGTTCACAATGTTTCCCCAGCAGGAACCGCATGTGCCCTAGAGTGTGAATGAGAAGGAGACGCGGAGGCAGCGCCAACCCCACGGAGACCGCGAGCCTCCCGCACGGACCAACAGGCGCCGAAACCTTCCCACGAGTGAGTCTGGCCCCCTTTGTTGGGCTCAGACCTTTTTGTGCATCTCAGACAGTTGGGTAAGACCCGAAGGCTGTCAAAATTATTCCCAAATTCATCGTCTACAGATAACAATTCACGTGCAAACTTTTTTTTTTTCCCCTGGGCGTGTCTTGTAGGTCTACGGATGCGAAAGATGCACACGCGGATGTCGTGCGCTACCGTTTTCGCCCGGTGATCTTCCCAGCGGTCACAATGTTAAAGAAAATCCGATTATTCAAAAAAATATGTGATTATTATTGCCCAGAAGGTTGAAGGACTTCCCCCAAAGGAACCAGTGGAGAACGAAGAGTCTAAACGTCCTCCAAGCAGGTCCCAGGACGGAAGGCCGCGTGCCGCAGCCCGTCCAGGTAAAGTTCTGGAAGGGCAGGTGTGAGAGCGCCCGTCCCCTCTTCGGCGCAGGGAGGGAAGCGGGAGTCATAGGGCGAAGGAGGGCTGAGGTCGCACATCCCACTTGTGATAACGGGACCGGGAAGGGAGCAGACCCGAGCGCGCGATGAAAATGGTCTAGAAAGAGCCTGAGCGGCCGAGTAGCCTAGACCGAGTGGGTGAGGACGGGGGAGCCGGGGGGAGCCTGGATCCCTGAGGCTGTCCCTGCGGCAGGGAGCGCAGCCCCTGGATCCCCGAGGGGGGGGGCGCACCTCATTGCAGTCACCTGCAGGCACCTGCTGCTGCCGCCACACCCCTCGGCTGGGGGCGCCCCGAAGCGCTTGGCCACCAGCCCTCGGTGAGGACCTGGGAGCTCCGCTCCGTGGCTCCTGGCGTAGTCGCGGCCCGTGTGGACCCACCGTGACTGTCGCTGCGCACGAGGCGGTCAGGGGATGCAGGCGGCCGGTCCCCAGCCCCCCGTGTGCACCGAGGACATCGGGGCATGTGGGGCAGGGCCAGGGCAGGCCATGTGTGGCTTCGGGGGTCCTCGTTGGCCCTGGTGCCTGGACACGGGCAGTTTTCCCTCCTTTGGACTCATTTTCTCCTTTTGGGGTCACCTCTCTGGCCGCCCCCACCCCCTCTTTCACCCGGGGAACTGGTATCCTTCGCAAGCAGCATCCGGGGGACTGTCGGGCCCTCACCCTCCCTGAAGCCCAAGCCCGTGGCCGTGCTGAGGGTGCAGGTCAGAGGCCTGGAGGGGCTGGAGAACCTGCCGCGGTCGGGCCGCGTGAGCTCTCTGCAGGACACCCGGGGTCCGCTGCGACCAGGGACGCGGCCAGGGTGCAGCGGGAGCCCCGCTGTGTGGACGCGGCCGACCCAGGGGTCACGGCCACCTCGGCGGGTGGGGGAGGACCCAGTCGGCCTCGGGGAGGTCCCGTGGCCCCGCCGCCTTTGTGAAAGCAGCCTTCCCGGGGATGCTTTTTTAACTTCTCTTTCTCCAGGGTTCAATAGACTCAGGAAAAGAGAACCTCGGGATTTTTCTTTTTTTTTTTTTTTAAATCCACAAAAACCCCTCAAGACCCAAAAATCCAATTCTACTAACAAACCCTTTTATTTATTGGGCTCCTGTTAATTCCGGATTTGGAAAAATAGACCTGGAAGGGAGGCGGGCACTCACCACTTCATTATCTTTGAAGAAAGGTCCAGTAAATAGATTAACAGAGTAAACCAGATTAGGGAGGCAGGGCCCGGATTCGGCTAAGAACCAAAGTCTCCTTCAGCTGTCCGGCAGCTGGATTGCTTGCGCGTTACTACGAAATGGGCAAGTTTTCTGTTTCTGAAAATGGATAATGTGGGGCCTCCGGGGGGGGGGGGCGGCAGTTGGACACGAGATGCTGGCGTAGATCGGGTGTCTTCCTCGCGTGACCTCCTGGTGCCCGCGGCGCTGATGCTCGGGGCGGCCTGGAGCCGCGGGGGGACGCGGGCGGCGGCGGAAGGCTGGGCCGGGGCGGGGGCGGGGGGGAGCGTCAGCCCCTAATAAGGGGAAGGAAACAGGTGATCCAGTACCTACTGCACGCCTACCTTGTTTCCCCGCGGCTCCCTTTATTACACTTTCCAGAGGTTGCATTTTTTTTTACCAGTTGAAGGTCCGTGGCAACCTGCGCGGGGCTGGTCCTTTTTCCAACAGGATCTGCTCACGTCATGACTCTGTGCCACAGCTGGGTCATTGTCACCACGTCTTAAACTTTCTCATTACGGTTATAGTTGGCGCTGGTCCTCCGTGATCGGGATCATGAAAACGTGCTTGAAAGCTCGGATAATTGCATTTTTTAGCAATACGGTATCTTTAAGTCAAGGCATGCATATTATGTGTTATTTTTATTTATTTTTATTTTTTATTTTAATGTTTTTTTAAAAAGATTTTATTTTATTTATTTATTCATGAGAGACACACAGAGAGAGGCAGAGACCCAGGCAGAGGGAGAAGCAGGCTCCATGCAGGGAGCCCGATGAGGGATTTGATCCCGGGTCTCCAGGATCACGCACTGAGCGGAAGGCAGATGCCCAACCGCTGAGCCCCCCAGGCGTCCCACATATTATGTTTTTTATGAATGATGCTGTTGCACACTTCACAGATTGCAGGGTAGTGCAAACACGACTTTTACGCACATTGGGAGGCCGAAAACAGGAAACCAAACCTCACTTGAGTGGCTTCACCGGGTGTTTATCGCCGCGTCTCCGAGGCGTGCACGACCGGAGGGCTTCGTGCGGGTCACAGCCCTGTGTTGGCGATGGGTTGTCCTTGGTTCATTTTTCCCAGCTGGTTCCCGCCCGTGTGCTGTGCCCCTGCAGGGACGGGGGCGCGACAACGCAGGCCTCCTTCCCACCCACCGGGCACTGCAGTGGGCGTGCTCCCGCGGGAGCTCTGCTGCGACCCGGGCGGGCGCCGGGCGCACCAGCGTCGAGTCCAACGTGCCCAGTCTGCAGAGTTTGCAAATAAAGTACGAATCTGCGTGTGGTTGTGCCACCCGGAGGCACCTGCTGTTCACATCGTGGCGCGTTTCGTTCTCACCTTCTTTTATCTGTGTTTGCACCGACCCAATTTGGGACATTCCGTGTGCAAAGCTCTATACTCCACAGTCTCCGATGCCATGAAACGTTTCGAGAATATGATTTAACTGCACAATGTTCCACCCCCTATTGATAAAGCATCGCTTATTTATCGGTTTCCTTATTAGAGATGTTGGCTACGATTCTTCACTACCACGGACGTTATTATAAAGAGAACTTCTAGGCACATGTCTACACACCTGCCTGTCTGGGGATATGGCCCTTTAATGTACTTGGGGGATTTAAAGACTTGGGAAGCTGTTGATCGTACTACCAAATTTTTTAAAAATATTTTATTTATTTATTCATGAGAGACACAGAGAGAGAGAGAGGCAGAGACCCAGGCAGAGGGAGAAGCAGTCTCCATGCAGGGAGCCCGACGTGGGACTCGATCCCGGGTCTCCAGGATCACACCCCCAGGCCGAAGGCAGTGCTAAACCACTGAGCCACCGGGCTGCCCCGTACTACCAAATTTTTTGTCGGAAGGTTGATCGTCTCTCTTCCCATCAGCAGAGAGGAATGCCTGATTTGTCACACTACAGTGACCGTAAGTATTGTTTTCGATATTTTACAAATTCGATTTAGAGGACGTGAGTTTCAGTTTTACTTTTACATATGTCTTTGATCATTGGTGGACTTAGGTTTTTTTTTTAGTATTTATTTATTTGTTATTTTTATTTTATTCATTTTTATTTATTTATTTATTTATTTTTATTTTAATTATTTATTTTTATTTTACTTATTTTTATTTATTTATTATTTTTATTTTACTTATTTTATTTATTTATTATTTTTATTTTTATTTATTTATTTATTTATTTAGTTTTGTTTATTTATTTTTATTTTATTTATTTATTTACTTACTTATTTAAGGGAGTGAGCACATGTAGGGGGAGGAGCAGAGGGAGAGGGAGACCCCCGCTGAGCGTGGAGCCCCACGCAGGACTCGATCGCAGGACCCCGAGATCATGACCTGAGCCGAAGGCAGAACTTAACCCACTAGGCGCCCCTGAACTTAGTTTTATGTATTTATTAGCAACTTAACTTCTTCTCTGGATTATCTGTGTACGATTTTGACCTTTAGAGAAACCTGAAGCCTTCATGTTTTTCCTGTTGCTGTGCCATAGATGCATTATTGAGGTTTTTAAAAACCCTTTAAAAATCAGCTGCATTGGGACGCCTGGGTGGCTCAGCGGTTTGGCACCTGCCTTCGGCCCAGGGCGTGATCCTGGAGTCCCCGGATCGAGTCTCCCATCAGGCTCCCTGCATGGAGCCTGCTTCTCCCTCTGCCTGTGTCTCACCCTCTCTCTCTGTATCTCTCATGAATAAATAAGTAAAATCTTTAAAAAAAAATAAAAAAAAATCAACTGCATTTTTTTATTTTTTATGTCACACCCTCTACGGCCGCCTTCAGAGAAAGACCAGTCCCAGATGTAAAGGGGCAGTTCCCTCAAACACGACCTCGGTTATTTGGGGTTATTGAGTCGTTTTTATTTTGTGTAAAGAATGCACAAGAAACTGTGAGCCTAGGTTTTCCTCAGCACACTTGCTTCCCATTAAGCGGATCTTTTGTGCTGAAACAGACTTGCAGACCCACCAGAGCCGACCGGGCTGCTGGCAGTAAGATGCGCAGGGCCTGGCGTCGGCGAGGAAGGACGGGGCCCCCGTGGCACGTTGCAGGAGGTCAGACCATACGCCTCACGCGGTGCGGAGCGGGGTTATTCCCGTAACTGCTCTCCCCATCGTGACTGCAAACGTCTTCCTGAAGGCCGGGCCGCGGACAAGACGGAGGAGAGCTCTCTGGTTTGGTGCAGTAGATCCTCTACGACCGTGGCTTTCAGACTTTTTTTTTGGATCATGATACTCGGCGAGGGGACCTTTTGTTTCATAGGCCGGTGACACAGCGTGTTGGGAACCGAAACAACATTTCACGATGCAACACTTACTGCGCAAGATACGCTCTGATATCTGCCGTCTCGTCTTTTATTTCATTGAAGCAAAAGTGCTGACGCTTCTCGCCAAATTGATCCCTCAATCCATCAGAGGGTCGTGACTTATCGAGTGAAAAGTCCCCGTGGGGAACTGCCCAGAACAGCACGTCCGCGGAGGCCGTCGTGAGGGTCCCCACAGCCGCCGGCCACAGCGTAAAGTGGTACGTAGGATTTTTTTTTTCCCAGGATGAGATTAAAAATAGGTGTTTTAATCCTGGTTGACCTCTGTCCTTAGCGCCTGCATGTCACTGCCCCCCACCGTCACCCCCCGTAGTGGATTTGGGAGCGTCCAGAATGTGGCCCCGTAAGGCCAGGCCTGGAATCCCATAACCAATGTCTCCTGGACCATCTGAGCTGGGCCGAGCTAAGCCTGGGACAGGGCGTCATCCTTCAGCAGCTTCCCAGGACCCCTTGGCTGCGCACACAAAGAGGACCCGGCTTTTCTTGTTTGGGCCTTTGCTCCTTCCTATTTGATTGAATTTGAAGAGGAACTGTTTGCCTTTGGCTGCACATCCTGAATCATAATCAGGATGCTGCTGGCACAGAAGACCTGCTCCCACCCTTCGCCTGAAATAACCGAACAGGGGAAGTTAGAGTCCCTCCTGTCTCCAACCTTAAAGAAAGAGGCTCGTAATTCATGGTGTGCTGGCGATACATCAAAAGTCAGTCCAGTCACTTACAGGAAAATCGAGGAGGGCAGAACAATGAGTATGGAGTGAGATTCAAACACCTCATTAAAGGGACAAACTGTCCCGCTGACCCCAGAATAGAGATCCTTACGTATTTGTTACCGGAGTCCAGGGGCCTCCAAGATGCTTCCCCGCCCGTGGGGCAAGACAGGGGTGGGGGGCAGAGGCCACACCCTCCGCTCTTATCCGTTCTTTGGCAGATATGCGTTTCCTTTATTTGTTTGTTTATTTTTATTTTTTTTTAATTTTTATTTATTTATGATAGCCACAGAGAGAGAAAGAGAGAGAGGCAGAGACATAGGCAGAGGGAGAAGCAGGCTCCATGCACCAGGAGCCCAATGTGGGATTCGATCCCGGGTCTCCAGGATCGTGCTCCGGGTCAAAGGCAGGCGCCAAACCGCTGCGCCACCCAGGGATCCCTATTTATTTATTTTTAGATATGCTTTTCCTGACCTGTCATCGGGGACGGTGCTCCTTGGGCACATTGGTTCCCGCGTCGCCACAAACTGGGTGGCGTAAAGCCACAGCGACGACGTCGTCCCTTGTAGCTCTGGAAGCCGCGGGCTGGGAGCAGGGCCACGCTCCCTCTGGAGGCCCCGTCCCCCAGCCTCCGGCGGCCCCGGGCATCCTTGGCTTGTGGGCTGGGTCTGCGCCTTCAGCTTTGTGTGGCCACCCCCCTTCCTGAGTGTGTCTCCTGGGAGGATAACCGACCCTGGGTTTGGGGTCCCCCTGCCGAACGCAGCCTGACCTCACCTGGAGATCCTGCATTCACTTACCTTTGGGAGGACCCGTTGGCCAACGAAGACGATGCACATGGATCCGGGGGGGTGGGACTGGCCATCTCGTTCGGGGCCCACCACCATCCGACCCACTTGGGGGGTACAAAGTCGGAAAGGACAGGGCTGCTGTCCTCCAGGAGCTCAGCGTAGTGCGGGAGGCAAATAACGGAAGGACAAGGGGAAAAGAGCAGGTGCAGACAAGCTGTGCTGCAAGGGCCGGGGCATCTGAGCAGGGTCTGCGTGGGGCCTCGGGGTCGCGTGCTGCTTGGGCGAGGACGGCTGTGTGTTTGTTTGTTTTTTAATCTCGGGACTCTACCATTTCCTGGCATTTGGAAATCACCGCAGAAGCCATCAGGTGGACCAGACAAGTCCAGGTTGAATAAAGAGGGTCAACGCTGGCCTGGTCGGAGTTCTTGGGTTTGGGTTCTGGGCCCCCCCCCAGCCTGTCAGCCGACTCGGGGTGGAGGGGGCAGGTCCCGAGGCAGAGCTGAAGCCCAAGGCCTGGCTGAGGTTCTTGGGGCTCCGCAGCTGGGACGTGAGCAGCTGGACGGAGGGAGGGGGCCCTTGGCTTAGTCTGTGATGGAGAATGGAAAAGAGGTGCACTCGGCCTGCTCCCAGGTCGGAGGGCGAGGGTGTCCCGTGTGTGCGAGGCGCCCCGGGCCCCGGCGGCTGCCCAGCCGAGCCCCCCTTTGCTGTAAGGACGCCGGCCGGGTGCATCTCTGCACCTGTATGCTGGGGGGCGGCTCCTGAGCGTCCTCACCGCGGATCTGCCAGCGACGCAGTGCAGGGGGGTGCTCACTTCCGTTTCCTGGACCCCGTTTCTACGACCTTTGTGAAGGTCACCGGCAGGTCTTTCCATCCTCCTAGGACTTGACCTTCTTCGGGACCGTTTCTCACGTCAAACAGGTTTGTGGTGATAGACACTATAAAAATAGCAATTTGGATGTAAAGTGTTTGCTGTTATGGAGAAGAAAGTCTTTTTTTTTTTTTAAAAAAAGATTTATTTTATTGATTTTAGAGAAAGAGAGCAGGGGTGGGGGGCAGAGGGAGGGAGAGAACCTCAGGCAGAGTCCCTGCTGAGCTCAGAGCCCAACGTGGGGCTGGATCCTGCGGGACCTGAGCCCAACCCAGAGGGAGACACCAACCCCGAGCCCCCCAGGCGCCCTTTATTCTTAAGGAGCAGAGGCTGAAGTGTTTTGGGCTGACGTCTTATGTCAGACGCTTCAGCGAAAGTGTAGATAAAAACACCTAATATCACAAAAATGGTAAGAAGTGCTCAATCTAAGAGGAAGGCATATGGGTGTTCACTATTCTGTTTGTTCCGTTTTTCTCTGTGCTTGAAAGTAGTTGTGATTCAGAGCTTGGGAAAGATCGAGAGGAGAAAGTCTTGTTTTTTTTTTAAAGGTTTTATGTATTTATTCATGAGACACAGAGAGAGAGAGAGAGAGGCGGAGACCCAGGCAGAGGGAGAAGCAGGCTCCATGCAGGGAGCCCGACACGGGACTCGATCCCGGGACCTCGGGGTCACGGCCTGGGCTGGAGGAGGACGCCCCACCGCGGGGCCCCCCAGGTGTCCTGAGAGAAGAAAATTCTTGATGTAAAGTTTCTTGACCGATGTTTCATGGATTCCAGGAGAAAGGTGGGTGGGTGCCAAGGATTAGGAAGCTTCTAAATCTAGGTGTGAGCTTCTGTGCTGTGTGTGTGTTTCACTGTGGGGGAAGGTTCCCTGTTTGTGGCTCTTTCCTGCCTCTCAAATGCTCTATGACTGCTCGTCCCCAAAGTTAGACACTAGTGCTTAAAACTAGAAATAGGGCAGCCCGGGTGGCTCAGCCGTTTAGCGCCTGCCTGCAGCCCAGGTCATGACCCCGGGGTCCCGGGATCGAGTCCCACGTCGGGCTCCCCACAGGGAGCCTGCTTCTCCCTCTGCCTGTGTCTCTGCCTCTCTCTCTGGGTCTCTCATGAATACAGAAATAAAATCTTAAAAAAAATAAAATAAATAAAAATAAAATTGGAGTTAAATCATAAATATGAATTCTGTATGATGATCCCTTTCTATCCTTCACCTCATTTCTTTTCTTTTTTTATTTTTTATTTATTTATGATAGTCACACACACAGAGAGAGAGAGAGGCAGAGACACAGGCAGAGGGAGAAGCAGGCTCCATGCACCGGAAGCCCGACGTGGGATTCGATCCCGGGCCTCCAGGATCGCGCCCTGGGCCAAAGGCAGGCGCTAAACCACTGCGCCACCCAGGGATCCCCTCACCTCATTTCTTGAGCTGTCTTTGCTTTACTAAAGTCCAGTTTGCACGCGAGGTGGTATCAGCTTCGGGTGCACACATAGTGACTCCGCGACCACGGACGTTATGCGCAGCTCGCCAGGGCCGTGTGGTCACCCCGTCGCCGTGCGGCGTCATTGCAGAATCGTGCGCTACGTTCCCTGTGCTGTGCTTTCATCCCTGCGACTTATTTATTTTATAACTGGAAGCTTGTGCCTCTTAAATCCTTCACCTTGTTCCCCCCCCTTTGACACTCCCCCTCGATTTCTCTTAACTAGTTCTTTTCCTAGCATTGTTGAATTCTTAGACGTTTTCGTAAGTTTGAAACGCGGGTTGCCGACGCGGACGAATCTGTTTTCCCTTGCCCTAATTTGAAACCGGAACAAATCTTGTGTCTTTGTAGATTATAAAAATAACATGGGCTCAGTATATGTTACTTATAAAATACAGGAATATGTAAAGAAGGAAATAAGGTTTCCATTAACCCACGCTCCAGAGGTGACCACTATTAATATTTCGGTGCATTTGAGGCTTTTTGTACGTGTGCACTTATGTGCTTATGTGTGAAACAGAACTGAATAAGACTGAATGTGCAGGTTTACGTTATGCAAAAAAATGTTAAATTCCTTTATGTTTTAATGTTTCCTCGGTTTTTATAAATAATTTTTCATAAAGAAAGGATTTTTCCGGTCTTTGTATTAAATGTGGCTGTTCAAATACACATTTTAGATTTTTAGCGAAGACCTCCTTCCCTTCCTCTCCTGAATAACTTGGTGCCCTTAGTAATAGGATTTATGTGAAGTGCCTAGTGTTCCATCGAGTTGCCTCCCTGAGATGGGTAAGAAAAAAAAATGTTAAGTCCATTCTGCTTATTGAGCATGGAACCAGGGCACAGCTAACTCCGACCTGTTGGAGGTCGAGGAGTCGGGGCCCAGGAAGGGCACACCGAGCGGGCGGGCGGAGAGACCCGCAGTGTGACACTTGCCCTCTTCTTGGGACTTTCGGGGGCATTTATGAGGCCGTGGCCACGTTTGGATTTGCACGGTTATTTGTTTACTTATGCTAATGATGCAAAGCCCCAGCAAGTGTCCGCACTTCATCGGCCCAAAACAAATACTAATTCCATCGCATCCTGATGGACAAGAAGCTCTCGGGCCGTCTGTGCATTGAGCGCACGAGCGCACGGGAGCTGGCCCGGAGGCAGACAAGCCTGGTCAGCCCCTGAGCTCAGGGACCTTGCTAGAGGAGCCTCCGGCCTCGATTGCTCACCTGTTCCCATCTTCCTAATGGTCCTAATGGGAACCTAATGGTTCCGGTCTTCCTGGGGAGTCGGAGGATCCCGCGAACCTGCCCCTGTAAGAAGGGCTGACGTGGGCCAGGGGCTGGCATTCGCAGGTGTGTCAGGTGCATCCCATCTGACGTCCCGCTTGGAGCCCACATTTGTGCGCCGGGCCCCGTCCTCATTTTGCAGATGAGGATCCAGGCCCGGAGAAGTGGAATAGCGGGGCCAAGGCCACAACGGTTAGACGAGTGAGTGGGGATTTGGAGCGAGGAAGCCCCGGGCTCTCGGGCATCGGTGCACCGCCCTTCCCGCAGCGTCTCGACGGCCGCCGTGTGCTGACACCCGGGTGGACGCTCGCCGAGTGACGCCACGCGAGGGTCTCCCAGGGCGGCTGGCTGGAGGGCACCGAAGACGGTCCTGTTGGGGCGGAGGAGACGCCCTTGTTTGCAGGGCAGACCTACCATCTGGGCCTGACGTGCCATTCTTTAGGGACAGAAGCTTTAACACCCACGTTTGAATAACCTCTCGGAAGAAGGGCTGATCTGGAGCCGATTTCCGCTGCTCCCTGTTCCCATCAGCTGCGGGGTTGGGCGGCTGCCAGCCCGATGACTCTTCCCCCAGATGCAAGAGGGCGAAGCACGAGGGTGTTACCAGGAACCGAGACCTGGATGGGCTTGCAGGGCTGGGCGCCCGGCCGAGTCACACCCAGGCGGTGGGCGCTTGCCAGCTTCAGGGCGAAGCCCTTGCCCCCGAGAGGCTGGGCAGGGCGGGCGGCTCTTTGCTTGCTGACTCTCTCGTCTCCGGGACAACAGGCTGGAGCAGACTGGTCACCCGTGGGAATGCGCCTCCTGAGTCAGCGGGGCCTGCATGGCCCCGGGGTGCGGCCCGGGTCTCCTGGGGGGCCCCTCGCAGGCGCCTTTGATCACGGAGGACACCGCTGCGCCATCAGGGGCTGAGGGCTGGAGCCGCAGGCCGGAGGCGGCTTGTTCTGAGCCACATTAGGTCCCTGCAAAGTGTCAACTTTTAGGACTTTCCGTTGGGCTGCAGCTGTTGGTATAAAGTGTTTCGGGTACGGACGTTCCAGACTGTTAGTCAATCACGCGTGACCATCGGACAGAGGCCGGAGACGCCGGTTCCAGAATCCATTCCAATTTGCTGCATAGATTGGGACGGTCACTTTCTCCCTTCCAGGCCTCGGTTGCCTCATCTGGAAAATGAAAATCACTCTGCCCTACCTGTACCACCGGGTTGTGCTGAGACCCACGTGACACGGTGACGTCAAAATGGCCACTAAACGGCAGGGAGCTGGTTGGCCTGCAGCTGGGCCTTAGCAGCCCGGCTCCTCCTGGTTGTTCTCCTGCTCAGAGGTGTCTGACCAGCCCAGCCTCGGGGGCGGGTGCGATTTTACTGAGAGAAATGGCTGGATTCTGATCTCCGACAAAAGGGAGGCACACCCCGGGGAGCCCACGCAGCGGGCTGTGGCATCCCGCCACCCCTGCCCCGTCTGGGGGCCTCCCCCCATCTCCACCCTTGGTGGATTAGGCTCTCATTTCATCGGGGGCGGGGAGGGGGGTGAGGGCTTCCCTACCCAGAGCCTCCCAGTCTTCCATGGTGCAGTTAGCGAGCTCTTCCTCGCTGGGGGCTCCCGTTCGCGAGGGGCGCTGCCTGGTGCAGGGCTCCTTGGGATGGTGAAGAGTTGCACCTATGGGAACGGAAGAGGAGCCGGAGGGCCCGGGAGGTCAAAGCCCCCCGACGGTGAGGACCAGAGTACAGCGCGGAGGGAGGAGAGGGGATGACACCGGCCCAATGGCGCCTGTGCTGGACCCAGTCTCCTTCCCAAGGATTTTTGGCAGGAACAATGCAAACTTACGGCCGATTTACGGGGGTGGCCTGCATTCCCGTTCCTTGTGCGTCGGCGTGTAGCCGCTGTTGCACCAGCTCAGGCTCCGGATGGCTGCACAAGGGAAGCCGGCCACGAGGCCCAGTGCCCAGGAGCTCTGCACTCAGGTCCAAGCAGGGCAGGGCCCCAGGACATTGGCGGGGAGAGTGAACATAAAGGGATGTGTCTCTGGAGCATGAGGCTGGTCTTGATGACCTGACGTAGGGGAAGGGAGCCAAGTCCGGAACGTCCCCAGCTTTCCCTCCCTTCCCCTACTCTCCAGGGGAAGGCTTCGGCTCAGTATAAGAAAGAACTTTGTGTAAGTCAGACACCTGGACGTGGCGAAGAAGCAGACACTGGCCAGTCGCAGGAAGGAGCCCGTGGCGGGGACACAGATGGAGACGGGGGTTGCCTTGAATGCTCTCTGCCCAGGTCCCGGAGGCCCTGACGGAGCCCAAGGACGGGCTGCGCAGAGTCAGGACCCCGAGCTACCTGACACCCACTCCGCAGTGCCCGGAGCTCCTCTGTCGTGAAAATACCCTTTAGGGCTGTTGTGCTGGACCTTTCTCAACAGCAATAAGCCTTTGAGGCTGTAAAGTTCCACTTCCCTCTGGTTTTGCTGGGAGGGCAAGATGGCCCACGTCTGTCATCCTGGTTTCTGACTAGCCCCCCTTTTTTTCATGATCCTTATTCCTTCTTTATTCTCAGTCTGTTGCTCTTGGCACAAGAATTTGTGTGGATGTGTTCATAGCAGTCACCCTCTGCCTTGAGAAGCATGTGGAATGTTTTAGGGATATTTTTATGAAGTCTTGGGCCATATTTTTTATGGCTGGAAATTAACCAGAGAACTGCAAAAAAATACAGGCCCGCTTCCTCAGCTTCAGGGCCTGAGGATGAGTCCTTCGCGCCTCCTACTCCCGTGTTCCCGTCTCTGGGCCAGGGGCGCTCCTTGGACCCGATCCTTCTTCTCTGACGGGACGCTGGGGTTCCCTGCAGCTCCATGCTCTTCTTGCCCAGTCTCAGGCCCTCTTCTCACCTCCTAGATCTTGTCATTCTCTTTGACCCCCCTCGCTTCAGTCCTTGCCTCCCCCCCACACCCCGTATTCCTTCCATCAGAAATCCTCGCTTCTGCAGCTGAAGTTACCTGCTCATCACGGAGTTCACACATGCTTTTGTAAGGACGCCAGGAGGTCACGGATACCGGGTGGGGTTGGGGTGTGGGCTTCGTTCGTTCTGCGACGGTGTCAGCCATTCGGGCTGCTGTTCCTCTTGAGAGATGAGCTCCCGGGGTGGTGACCCCCGGGGAGCACCCTTCTGCTCAGCCGTGCTCATAGAGTCTGGGTCCGTTTCCACATTTTAATCACTCTGATCATTCCTTTCAGGCTCCAAAGCAAAGACGTGTTTCCAGTGTGTTTCATTATGAGACTTAAAATGCTAAAGCCCGAGGTAAATGGTTTGAATCTCAAACGTGATTCCGGGGAGTTGTGTTTGTGGTGCTCTGACCCCACGGTAACCGAGCCAGTGTCAGGAGAGGCACCGAGGACAGGAGAACTGGGGTGATGGCTTCCTGCCACCAGGCGCCCAGGGCCGGGCACGGGGACCGCCGCTGGGGCAGTAGGAACTGAATGGGGGGAGGGCTGTAGGGACATTGGGAGGGCCAGCGGGGACGGCCATGGGGCTGAGAAGTGGGGTCTCGGGCACGGGGAAGTACAAGGGTCACCCTCATCTAGGAAGACAGGAACAGCAAGAGGAGCCACACGGGGCCATGAGAGGAGTGCTAGGTGTGGGCCCGGGAGCAGCTGGATGGAGGTGGAGGGCCAGGGGCCGGCAGTGACAGGCAGATGGGAGGTCGGCTCCTCTCCTCTCAGGGCTTCTCACCAGGCACCACGTGCAGGTTGGGGGTGTTGACAGTCTGACCTCGCCCCCCCGTCCTTCTGTAGGGGCCCTGCCCACCGACTCCCTGTGAGATGCTCTGAAAGGTCTGCGTGAGTCTCTACGTTTCTGGCCCCCAAATGAAGGCCCAACAGGACGAGCGAGGGACGGGCCGCAAAAGATGCCGGCGGGAGATTTCACGATGATGTGGATGGGAGCAGCTTGAGTGTCCGTGACGCCAGCAGGATGCGGGTCGGCGCTGCCACCTGCCCCCCGCCCCCGTGACAGGTGCCCGGCTGGCATCCAGGCCATGGCTGACTGGACTCTGCGGTCACCCTCCACCTGCCCCAGCAGAACCCACGCTCTCCGGGGCATCCCCGCAGGACACGCATGCTGCACGCAGGGCAGGAAGGGTGGGGGGGCTCACTGTCCCCTCACCACCAAATGTGGCCCTAGGTGCCAACCGTGGGCCGCCGTCATGCTCCTGCCGCCTGCCGGCTTCCGTGGGCAGGTCCTTGTGCAACCCGTGTCGCCCTCAGGGGCACAGGAAGCTCCTACGGACCCCCCGGCTTCCATCTCCCGGGACGGAGTGGCCTGTGGTCCAGCTTCCCTCCACGTTGGGCCTCAAGGCTTAGAGCTGTGTTCATCTGACTGTTCTAGGTGGTTCTACAGACCCAAGACCTCCCGGTGGCCACAGCCGTGGGAGGAGGCAGAAGGAATGGGGCCAAGGAGCGTAAGCCCCGCGGCCCTCTGAGACCCCGCGTCTGCTAGTGCTTGGTGAGGGCAGGGGCAGGAAGGCCCACGGCCACCCCCGGCTGCTCCCTGCCCCAGGGCCAAGGGACCAATCCGCCCAAGTCCATTCTGATGCCGCCTAGCTGTGTCCCCTAGACTTTGGGGGCCCCGTAGTTCAGGTCAGCCTCACCCCAGTTTGCCCGGAGAGGCCCCGGCTCATATGTAGGCTTGTCCCACCCTGATCCTAACAGACTCCCCCACTTTTACTCCCGGAGGTATCCTGGTGCGGGGATGACATCGTGGAGTCACCCTGACTGTTGTCCACGGGAGACCTCACGGCCCAGCCCCCGGGCATGTCGGAGCCCAAGGGGGGTCACAGTCAGGCTCCTGCCCCTGTAACGTGGTCTCATGTCCCCCGACCCACCCCGGCCCTCTGACTACCTCTGATACCTGCCAGGGGGCCCCGAACCCCCGCCCCTGTGTCCAGGCCGGGACTCAGCCTGCGAGGGGGTGACAAATCCCCGCGCCCCTGAGAGTGAGGACAGGCGCCCCTCCCGGACGCGGGCTCGCGTGGTCTGTGGGGCGGGCCGCTGGTCGAACCCCCGCGACTGAAACAGCCACCTGCCTGCCGTCGGATGCTCTGAAGGAATTTGTGTTAGAGAACATGGAGAAACCATTCTCATTTAGGGAATGAAAGACATAAAAGGAAAAAGGCCAAGTGGGCAAGGCCGGGAACCAAGTCACTGATGAATTGGGGAGATTATAGGATTTATGGAGAAAAATGAAAGAATAAGAAATTTTCTTGAGTCTTTCGAAGGGGCAATTAATGGCCTATAGGATTTGATTTCAACTTTTGTTCGCTTTTTTCTTTCTCTTGGCTACTTTGTGGACAGATTCATCTTTGAAACGTCCGATGCTTGGCTTTCCAAGGTTCTTCGGGCAGAGACTCAAAGTGGAGAAGCGACCACTTCTTAAAAGAAATGCTAAAAAAAAGAAAAAAGAAAAAAAGAAATGGTTTCCTTTTTAATTAACAAAGTAAACGGGGAGAAGAAGCATCTTTAATATTTGCAAAAGCCTCAAAAAAAATTTCACCAGCTAGAGACACAAAAGGAAACGAGTCGTCAGGCCTGGGGAACCTCTCCTCAATTATGGGATGTTTTCAGATTTAAATCCTACATACCTGAGTTTTATCTGTTTGCAGATGTCCCAAACAATAGGGTTTCTGGTTTCTTCATGGATATTTTGTTTAATGTTCTTAAAGAAGTCTGGGATGGGCTCTTAACACCCTGTCTTTTTGTCCAAAAAAAAAAAAAAAAAAGTAAAAGTAAAAGTATTTTGTCTTTAACGTTTTAAAAAATCGCTCAAGTTACAAGAAACTGATATAACACTGTATGTTAATTATACTTGAATTGAAACAAGATCTAATTTAATTTTAAAAAGGATTCCAATTGTAGATCTCAAAAATTAACTGTTCTTTTTTGGATAACCACGTTGGCGTCCCCCCCCCGCCCCCCCCCCCCCCGCATAGCCTTGCTTTGCCTTTTCGTGAGCGTACGCAAGAAGTGTTTTTTCTTGTAATTCTTTTGAAAGTGTAAATTCTGTCTTTAATACTGTCATCTGGGCTTCTGTTGAATGTCTGTGTTTATCGCAGTTTGTTTTTTTTTTTTGTTTTGTTTTTAATTGGCCTAAACACCATTGTTTCTAGCTTATCTGCCTTTCGTAGAGTCTTTGTGATGATTTTCTCTGGTCAAACCAAACCAAACCTAAAATACACAACAAAACCATCCCTGTGTTTCTCAGGAGATACCTGAAGGCATTTCCTCCTGTTTTTTTTTGTTTGTTTGTTTGTTTGTTTTTTCTTTAAATATACCTATTTTCTTGAAATATACCGACACACATTTATATCATATATACACCTAATAGGTGCGTGTATATACGTCCACACTTCATTTCCAACTCTGTTTCGAAGATGCCTCAACCCCATCACGTCCATCTTAACTGAAAAATGAAAGAAATACTCGCACCTGCGCAGGAAATCGAAGCTTGAGTCCACAAGCCCCACCTTGTTTCCTTGATTGTAATTTTAAGAGAGAAGGCCATTTAATTAAAAAAAAAATTCTTCTTTTCTCTCTTTTCTCCGAGGGCCCTGCCCCCACCCCTGCGATTGTCTCCTGGGCCCAGGAAGTTTATATGTCAACAGAAGCCGTAATCAGACCCCTGACCTCCCCTGGGCTTTCAACCCAGTGTTTCCACAGAGGGATTAACCCCAAATACCAACTTGCTCTCAGAGGCAAAATTGTTCCCGAGGCGGGCATCACCAAAGGGTTTTCTTCTCTGGGGCTTTCGCATTCACCCTGCAAATAAGGTCTCCTCAAAGGGAGGCTTAGAGGCCGCCGCCGGGAGCAAATCGCCGGCAGGCTGAGCTCGGGGCTCGCCGGGGCCTGTGGGTCCTCCTCTGCCAGCCGGTGGTCCTTGCCTAGACCCTCGGGGCCCGGGGCTGGGGGGGTGCCGCCTGGTCAACCCGAGTGTGCCTGGGCATGAGCTGCCGCCCAGGGTGGGCCTGGGCCACGGGGGACCTGCCCGGGGCAGCCTGTGGGCAGAGCCCCCGGGGAACGCAGGCCAGTCCTGGCACATGGGTGGCCACCACGGGTGCCAGGATGTCCCTGGGGTGGGGGGGCAGGCCAGGCATCAGGCCGAGGCCCCAGTAGAGCCCCTGGGCCCCCTCGCGGACTGGACGGCGGCTCCGGCTCGCGGCCTGTCCCTCTCCCTCTCCCCGCAGCGCCTTGCCCAGACACAAAGCGTCTTTATCTTAGAGGCCCCGAAACCTCTCCCGTTATGAGGGGCCGAGGAAGCCGCTTAGGGCCCCTGGCAGCTGTGGAAAGTGTGATGCCGCGGGGGCACCCAGACAGAAAATTAAAAATCTAATAAAGTCCTCAGTGTGGGGGCGCTGGCATCAGGACAGCTCTGCCTCTGCAGACACCTAATAAAGAGACATTCCGGGACGCTCCCGCACGAGGGGAGCCCGCGGTCCCGGAGCGCAGTGCCATGGAAACGTCGCAGTCACTCACCCCGCCTGGGGAGGGGGGGGCATCCCTCTCCCCTCGGCTCCCTCGCCAGGAAGATGACAGGGTGCCTGGGACCTAAGGGAAGACAGCGGGGGAGGGAGGGGGGCGGAGGGGCCTATCCAGGAGCCCGGGTGCAAAGCTCGCCCGCATGGGACCAATGAGCAGGGGTCCTAGGCACAAGGGGACGCGACGGTCACCTGGGAGTCACCTTGGGGCGTTGCGCTGGCCCTGGGAGGGCCCGTTCATGGGCAGCAGGGGAAGGGGCTGGGGGGCCGACTCTTGTCTCACCAGCCAGCTCCCCCACCGCAGGTGAGCTCGTTGGGGACCCGAGATTCTCAGGGTGTCGAGGGAGACCTTGGGTTTAAGGGACACTGTCTTCACTCCCGAGTCGGGCTGTGTGTACCTGAAGGGGAAGATGGTGAGTGCTGGCTGCGCGGGGAGCTGGTGGCCGCTGCTGGGAGCTGGTGGCTGCAGGCTTGTCACGGGGGAAAGGCCGGCGGAGCAGCCGCCACGGGACGGGCCGAGTGGGACAAGCCAGCCAGGGCCACATAATGCCACATGATCTCACTCATCTCTGGAACTTTCAGGCTTCAAACTCCCAGTGACCAAGAGCAGACTCCTGGCTGCGGGGGGGATGAGCGGAAAAACCCAGGGAGGGAAGATGTGAACAGAAAGCGCTGGCTTGTCCGGGGCTGGGGGCTCGGGGACGGCGGGGACGGCAGGGCCGCGTGGGGCCGGCACTCCCCGGGACACGCGGGCCTGGAGGGGTCCTGCACCGGCTCCCCGGGCCTCCTCGTGGTGCCCCCCCCGCGGGCGCCTCTGACCCTGGGCTCCGCAGCCTCCGGGGGCGGCATCGGGTGGGAAGCCACCTCTGCGGCCCTTCCCCTGCGCCTGCCCCTTCCCCGCGGCGGCTCCCTGGGCTTGGAAGTTGGCCTCCTGCCTCCCTGTGTCACAAACACTGTTTTTCTTCTGGCTTTTCATGCAGTTGTGGCTTGGCACAGACCGAGCGGCGGCCCCGGGTGTGATGCAGGGGAGGCTGCTGGTTATGCAAGGAGATGGAATATGGGCTTTGAACTTCTTAAGTCCAGAAACTCTCTCTTGGCCTTTTCTGTTACTTGGGGATTTTTTTTTCTTAAAAAAAAAAAAAAAAGAGAGAGAGAGAGAGAGGTTTTCTCCTATGAGAACGGCGTCACCCTTAAGAAAACCGCGGCCACCAGCGTTAGGCATGGGCTGGCTCCCGGGGGGTAAAGCTCTCTGAGGCAACCTGGGAAGTTCTGATTTATTCTGGAAGGATCCAGACTGGCGCTTCTCAAATTTCAAAGAGCCTCAGGATCCCTTGAGGGGCTTGTTAAATCCAGGTCTGATTTCATCCGGTGGGGCAGGGCCTGGGTTTCTGCATTTCCAGCGAGCTCTCGGGAACTGCCGCGACTGCTGGCCTGTGGCCCGTCCTCCAGACCCTCCCCGGGCTCCTGCAAAAAACCCTGGTGGCACAGGCCGGGGGTACCGTAGCTGAGCCCTCCTTAGAGGGCTCTGTGGGGCTCCGGGTCCAGCCGAAGCCCAGAATAAACCCCAAGGGCAAACAGCTGACGTGGAGAGCCCTGTCCCTTGGGAAGGTCAGTGTGCCTGCTGGCTGAGAATCAGTCTCATGCAGGTTTTCCCTTTTGCCTCTTGACACTTGAGTAGTTCCCCCCCCCACCTGTTTCCAGCATTAGGAGAAGAAAAATTGGACAGTGGGGTGAGGAAGAACAATGCATCCATTAGAAAGCTGCATATAGTATTTAAGGAGCCCCATCCTCTGGCTCATTGCATCATATTCCTTAGCAAGTCTAGAGCTAGAGTTTCAGCTAAATAAAGAAATGTAAATCATTTAATGCACCTTTCTTAATTGAGCCGCACACCAGGGGCACCTTCCTAATGGCATTATGGCACCAATTACCTCATTAGGAGAGAAGAGCTGCTTTTATGACAGGTTTTAGAGATTAAAACAGCCGAGGGATGTCCTTCAGGAAGACCTGTTCTGGGCTGAGCTGAGCAATGAGCGGGGCCCGGAAGGGCACATGATGGCTTGGGGACCCAAGGCCGGAGGATGACCCCTGCCCAGTTTGACCCCAGGCCGGAGGACAAGATCTGGATTCACTCATCACGTGTTCACTGCTCACGAATGTAAACCTCAGTAGCTCCCCTGCTTTGGAAGAACTTGGGTTCTAGGGCCCCACCCTGGGATCCTGACCCAGGAGCCAAACCCCACTTGTAATAAGGTCCCTGGGTGGGAAGCTGGCAGATGCTATCTCTTTTGTAGAAATTGTAGAGCGGGTCCCAGCGACTTCACCCAAAACCCAGGTGGGTGTACGCAGTTCCCGCATCCTCTGGGGCTTTCATCCTTCCAAAGGACACGTAAGACCAGGAACACAGCCATTTCTCCTGCTCCCTCCCCGCCTGTCCGGCATGCCTGGGTTGGCCGGGGTGGTCGTGGCGCAGGGCAAACTGGGCGCGACTATTAGTCTGGATGCTTGTTTGCCGTGCGACATCGGGCAGGTCACTGTGCCCTCGGGGCCACGGTTTCTTCAACTCAAAAACGGGAATGGCCAAGTGGGAATCGTAAATCGCGTGGACATGTTATTGATCAAGACGCCGACGGTCTTTTGGCAGCTGAGTTGTCCTCTGTAAAGGGGGGATGTTGCACTCAAGGATTTGGTGAGTCTGAGTAGCAAACGGGCTGCTCTTTCTAGTAGCTTTACATGTTTTCCTTCCCTGTGGTAACAAGAACTTGAACATCCAGATTTTTATGTAAATATTGAATTTATAGCAATGGTTTTGTGGAGCGTTCCAGTTTCCTGGGTTGATGATTAATGTGGTTTTCTCAGAGTGCGTTATGTCTTCCCCTTCTAGTCCTGTTAACTGCACAAAGGTGAAAGGCTGTTGCTGCTTTTCCGTCGTCGATCGACATGGGGGGGGGAGCAGATGCAATCTGGGTTACCCCACAGGGTGGAGGAAGCACAGCTGCCGATAGATGTGTAGGGAGGCAAAATTTAGCTTCAAAATGGAGATTTCCTAATAACTGGAACCACTTCCCTGATCCAAAACCTTCATGGGCCTTACGTTGCTATGACGTCATGCACAGAATTCTTTGCTGGATTTTCCAAGTCTCCATCATCCGGCTTCTGTGGGCTTTGCTAATCCTGCATCTTCCCCACCAGTAGCCCGAATCACGGTTTTTTTTTTTTAATTTTATTTATTTATGATAGTCATACACAGAGAGAGAGAGAGAGAGAGAGAGAGGCAGAGACACAGGCA